TTTATTTTGTCTGTGATGAGGTGTACATTGTCAAATAATGTTCAAAATTTCAAGTGTTTACAATCATTACATCATGAGATATTCGTAGTTAAACCTTTTTTAAGGCGACGGTTAGTGTCGGATTATAGACACTGTGAATTTACACACATTATTATAGAAGTCATTAAAAAATTTTCAACTCTTAAAACGCGCAATTTTGATCAAAATATCAAGTGTGATATATCACCAAAAAGGAGAGATCATACACTCTAAGAATATGCAAGAAATTTTGTCATATGTTAATTAAGTCACGTGACAGAGCTCATCAAAGTTAAAAGTTGCGATTTTCAAATGGCTGTCGAACCCGAAGTTAACGATGCACAACAAAATATCAGTGAAGATATCATCGGATATATCTGGTAAGGAGCGACAACTTTTGCTCAGGTCACAATGTCATCAAAGGTCAAAGTCACTAGATATGAGCCTTAATAGTTTTGACAATTACTGAAAATATAAAACCCATAAAACCGGAAATAAAAAAAATACAAAGCCAGAAATTCAAAAATCGTCTTCCTAAGTTTTGTTAGCAATCGATTGCAGATTCTTTAGAAACCAAAATCACACAAATCAGATTACCCCTGAAGCTTAATATCGATTTTTACAAAAATTGGTCACATCAAGATGGCGTCTAACACATTACTTCCGGTTCAAATTTTTTCATTCCAAAATTGTTATAGGGACAATTTTAACTAATTGCAAAAAGAATTTTTCAAATACCTACAAAATTCTGGAAGTTGAAATTTCAAGTTAAGAGGCGAATGACGTCAAAACTGCAAGTGATATCGAAATTTTGGAAATACATTTTTGTCACGAATCAAAATGTTTATCTACTATTAAATTTTCAGATCGATTAAAATAAAATTATAGCATAAAATAAAACTGAAAAAGTCAGCGGCAAAAGTCAAAATCTGAATTCATTTAAAGTGCTATGTTTTAACCATTAGTACATAGTAGTACACAAAACAAAAATTACGATCAAAATGAATTCAAAAGAAGAGCAGTAATTCGAAAGATGTTATGAATTTTTAACGTCCTACGTCACTTCCGGTTGAGCGAAAATGAGTCATTTTACATTTAAACAATAGTGACATGCTAAATATAAGAGATAATGGTGTAAGATAACTTGTGGTATGTGCAGTTTTGGCTGAGGAGCGTGACCAGAAGTAGACAAAAAAAAAATAGACATTTCGGAAACAAAGCAGTGCGTTCGAAGATCACACTTCAAAAATAATCATTTCGAAAACAATGTCACAGTGATTTTTGAATGCACTGCAAAAAAAACTAGAGCCGTATCAAAGCAATGCGCATCCAACCTGATACATCAGTGAAACGTTGCATTTTAAAGTCACAATGGGATTTCTTAACGAAAAGAAAAGCATGTAAACATTCAATATTTAACGTTCCGTAGTGAAGAGACGCAGGAATTTGATACCATTCGGTACTAAACGGTGTTAACATTCGGTAGTAGAAAGTCGAATTTTCGAATAGCTGTTAAGTTAAAAGTACAAATCGCACAACAAAAATGAAAATATTTTTGGAAAGGTCTCGTAAAGTACAATAACTTGTGTTACGGTCAAGAGGTCAACAAAGGTCAAATAAAAGAGATATAAGTTTTAAATTGTTAAAAATTGCTGTTTTTGGACGTCTGTAAAAGCCTATATATATGTCAAACATCAAAGATGTATGAATAGGCATCATAGATCAATGACATTGACATTTGACATTGCAGAGATTTAGGTAAATTTTATAAATTGTAAAACCTATTCCCTTTTTTAAAGTAAAAAATGGCCCAAACAAATGCAACTTTATCACTGATGGTTTATTTTCATGCAAAATGTCGATGTTGACAAATGCAAACTTTGCGAGTTATAACAATTTCAAATATCTAAGTTAAAGGTAAAAGTAACGCTTTGCCATGCCCACTTCAAAAATTTTGTGTTGTCTGTAATAATGTGTACAATGTTAAATAATGTTCAAAATTTCAAGTGTTTACAATCATTAGATCATGAGATATTCGTAGTTAAAAGTCTTTTTTAGGCAACACCTTGAATTTACGCACCGTTTCTAGAGAAGTCATTACAAAATTTTCGATTTTTAAAAAGCGCAATTTTGATTAAAATATCAAGTGTGATATATCACCCAAATAGGAGAGCTCATGCACTTTAAGAAAATATAAGAAATTTTGTCGTGTGTTAATTAGGTCATGTGACAGAGCTCTTTAAACTTTTTTCTCAAGTGACTGTAAAACCGAAAGTTTATGTTACACAACAAAAATGATGACATATTTGGATAGATCTCTTTTGTGCTGGTCACAAGGTCTCCAAAGGTCAAGGTCCCGAGATATGAGCTTTAAAATTTTTTGACAATATTGAAAAAAATCAACTGGAAATAAATAAAAAAGCAAAATCAAAATTCAAAAATCGGCTCCCACACGATTGTTAGGAATGGTTCACTGATAATATACACTTAAATAATGCAAATCCAATTAAACCCTGATATGAAAAATTACTTTTATAGACAATTTAGTCAGTTCAAGATAGCGGCTGATCTAATACTTCCGGGACGAATTTTATCATTTTAAATCTTTGATATAAACAATTCTAGCATGTTGCAAAAATAATTTTTAAAATATCTATAAAATTCCGGAAGTTGCAATTTCAAAAATTTTATAACCAACACTCATGCCAAGTTTCTTCAAAATCTGTCAAGAATTGTCCCTTCTAGAGTGTTAACAAGCTAAAATTTTAACGCGTTTTCAAGAATAAGGGCAATAACTCATACTAAATATTTTTCAATTTTTCTGTTTTTCAATACGGTTTATCCATGGGAGATAACCAACACTCTTGCCAAGTTTCGTCATAATCTGTCAAGAATTGTGCCTTCTAGAGTGTTTACAAACTAAAAATTGAACGCATTTTCAAGAACAAGGGCAATAACTAATACTAAATATTTATCAATTTTTCTGATTTTCAATAGGGTTTATCCTTGGGTGATTACAAACACTCACACCAAGTTTCGGCAAAATCCATCAAGAATTATGCCTTCTAGAGTGTTTACAAGCTAAAATTGAATGCGTTTTCAAGAACAAGGGCAATAACTCATACTAAATATTTTTCAATTTTTCTGATTTTCGGTTGGGTTTATCCTTGGGCGATAACGAACACACATACCAAGTTTCATCAAAATCTGTCATGAATTGCACCTTCTAAAGCGTTTACGAGTGTTTCAAGAACAAGGGCAATAACTCATAGTAAATATTTTTTGATTCGTCTGATTTTCAATAGAGTTCATCCGTGGGTGATTTCATGTGGGCGTATAAAAAATAATGAACAAAACAAAATATTTGATAAAAAATATAGGAGCAGTAATTCGAAAGACGTATGAGTGGCTACGTCCTACGTCATTTCAGGTTGGAAGAAAATGCATCATTTTACATTTAAACAACAATGACACGCTTTTTATGACAGATAATGATGTCTGTTAATGTGTGACAAATGCAGTTTTGGCTGGGCGCTCTGACCAGAATCGGGAAAAAAAAAATAGTCATTTGCAAAACAAAGCAATGCGTTCGGTAGAATACACTGCAAAAAAAAGAATTGACAATTTGATAACTTAAATTAAAGTCTCTATTGTGACCACAAGAAATGTTGACCGACGGACAGGGGCAACAACAATATATGACCACATATTCGTGTGGGCATATAAAAAAATGTATTCAACCCTTTTAATGCACAGATTAAATGAAACTAAATAAAGTCACACCTGTTTCTAACCATTTCAACTTGGTTGCCCATTCATCAGACGATCTGACCTTAATCCCTATTGAGTGCATAGTAATTGATCTGCCAGATGAGAAGATTAACATATGAAATTCCGCCAAGCTAAGGAAGCCAACTGAATAGATAGCTTGTGCATTTTAGTGTTTAACAGCTAAAATTTGAAAGGTTAATAACTCCTATGAGACATTTTTTGATTTTTGTAATTTTTTCGATAGGATTCATCCACTGGTGATAATAAACAATTATCGCATTCACAAGCTAAACAAGAACAAAAAATAAAAAAAAATATTTTAGTTTCTTCTGATTTTCAATAGGGTTCATCCTTGGGTGATTAGGAACACTCATACTAAGTTTTGTCAAAATCTGTCAAGAATTGTGCCTTCTAGATTATTAATTACGAGCTAAAAATTGATTGCGTTTTCAAGAAAAAGGGCCATAACTCATACTGAATATTTTTTCTGATTTTCAAGAAAAATAAAAAAAAAATCGCAAAATATTTAATATGAGTTATTGCACTTTGCACTTGTTCTCTAAAACGCGTTCAAAACAAGGGCAATAACTCATACTAGTGATTTTGAATAGATTTTTTCTTGGGTTGATAACAGACACTCACACCAAGTTTAAAAAAATCACTCAAGAATTGTGCCTTTTAAAGTGTTTATAGTCTAAAATTCACATTTTGAAGGATTAGGACTTAAACTCATACAAAATATTTTTCAACAGGGTTCATCCTGGGGTGATAAACTGTTTCAGAAATTTTTTTCAAAATTCGTGAAGAATTATGTCTTGTAGAGTGTTTACGAGCAATTGTGGACAGGTGACAGCAATATACGCTCCACATTTCATGTGTTTAATAACAACTACCAAGGAAAGTGACATCATTGAACTTCAACACATTTCATGTGTGTCTGTCCCTGAGGAAGGGAGCCTGTGTGCTCTTGAAACATGTTGGACTTTAGGACTACTTAGTTTTGCAGATTATTTTTTTTGAATGTTTACCCATCCATGTGTTGTGCTATAGAGTATCCACATTATTTGGCAACTAAAAATGGACCAGTAAAAAACTTTGTGATTTTATTGACCACATTTCATGTGGGCGTATGAAAGGGTCAAGTATATCCAACTGCACTAATATCTAACCTTTCATTTCAGAGCCTGATATTTCTACGTCTTGATAGTAGTTTAGAGAACACTTACTTTATTATAAAAACCATACGTAATTGCATTTACTTCAATACCATATTTTTTCATATCACCAAATACTTTAATAGCCAGGCCAGGTTTATTGTACTGTCCACACAACTGCATTAATATTCTGAAACACATCTGTAATAGAAAAGTTAAGTAAACAAAAAAAAAATAAATGAACACTGATCGCAGGAGACAGTAATGATCCATTCTCACAGTCATATTGCCATTTACTTACTGATTGTTTAGTAGGTGGGAAAATTTAACAAAAACTATAGACCATAATCTAGAGATATGTGTCCCTTTCCTTTGTGCCTTTAGGGAGCAGAGGTGGCTCAGCGAGTTAGACGCTTTCTCGCTAACCTGAAAGTCCAGGGTTCAATCCTGGCTTAGGTCAAGATAATACCTTTAGATTTTTCACACTGTTTCCCTCTGTCAGTGATACAGGTAAGAGGGGCTGACATGGAAAAAGCGTCTAATAATTCGTATGGGAAAATAAACGGAGACCCTGTGTGCTACAGGCTAATGCCGTTGTCCTGGCTAAATTTCTCTCATTGCACCCTGCATAGCCCACAAGTAGGACCTAAAACTCCATTCGTTTCATTTCATTTCATTTAAATTTAAAGCAGCAAAACTATCTAAAGGTCTAATGTAAACATTTTACATTTGTTATATTTTTTGGTAGGTGTTGCAAAACTTCTGTACAGAAAATCTTAACAAACTAAATACTGAATTGTGTAGAAATATTTGTCTTATTTATTCTGGAGGTTTTAACTAAAATTTATCGAGCCTATACAAACTTCAAAACTAATGTAAACTGCTTACTTCACAATCAATAACCAATTCAGGTTTATCAAGTAGATAAATAGCATATTTTAATTAATATCCTTTTTAATAATGAACATTTTGTATACGGTACTTTAAATAGATACATTACTTAAAACTTACTTCATCTGGAGGTTTTAAATTCGCCTTTTGCATCTGATCAAGAACAGCCTTAGCCACTCTCAAAGCATTTTCTTTATTAATATTAGAATGAACAAATGCTGATAAATTTATAAACCATAAACTATAACAGTGAGCTAATAAACATCTGAAAATAACAATTTAGTACATAAACATTTACTGAAAAAACAAACTGTTGTATAAATCTTACAACAGAGTTGTTTGATTGTCGGAATTTGATGAGCCCTGAAGGCCCTTTTATTTGATCAGAGCGAATTTCATTAAGATAGCTTGAAAGGCAAGGTAATATACGCCCACTGGCAGCTTTGATTTTGAATAAAAATATTTAGCAGTACAGTAACTACCACTAGTATGAAATATTCAACCTTCAGTCATACACTTCTTTTGAACTCTTTAGGGCGATACTGAATAATATTGAGTATGAGTTATTGCCTTTGTTCTTGAAAACGTGTTCAATCTTTAGCTCGTGAAAACTCTCGAAGACAAATATTCAATCTTCAGCACGGAAATGAATAATAAAACCAAGTTTTTATGAGCTACAAATTGAAAGATTTTTCAAGATCAAGGGCAATAACTCATACTAAATATTTTTTCGATTTTTCTCATTTTTAATAGGCTTTATCCATGGGTGATAACAAACACTCACACCAAATTTTTTCGTCAAGAATTGTGCCTTCTAGGATGTTTATGAGCTAAAAATTGAACGCGTTTTCAAGAACAAGGGCAATAACTCATACGAAATATTTTTCGATTCGTCTGATTTTCAAAAGGGTTCATCCTTGGGTGATTATTAACAACCATACCAAATTTCATCAAAATCAGTCCAGAATTGTGCCTTGTAGAGTGTTTACGAGCAATTGTAGACCGACGGAAAGAGGTGACGGCAATATACGCCCCCCATTTCATGTGGGCGTATAAAAATCAGATGAAAACTATTATGCTCACAACAAATTTTGATGCATTTATTTTAAGTCAAAGACAATAACTCAGAAAAAGGTTCATCTTGTCCAAAATATTATTTATAATTGATCACACCAAATTTCATTAAAATCGGAGGAAAATCCAATGCACTTACTAAACAATTTTGACATTTTTACTAAGTCAAAGGCATCTATTGTGCTCACGAACAAATTTTGATGCATTTATTCTAGGTCAAGGGCAATAAGTAAAAAAAGTCGAAAAAATTATCAAATTTGAACTTGTCCAAGATCTCAATATATATGATCACACCCAAATTCATTTACGTCAGATCAAAACTAGCTTCAAACCCACACAAACAAATTTTAACACATTTTGACTAGGTCAAGGGATATAACTCGAAAAAAGTTCAAACTTGTACAAGATTTCATCAATATGAATGATCAAACCAAGTAAATGGTCAGCTGCGTCACTTTGAATATATGTAACTAGTTTTCAGAGGTACTAGAAATGTACGAAAATCACATAATTTCTTCAAAAATATCTCAAATTAGGAATTTCTATAGATGTATTTTCTATTTAAGGCAGTGTCTCAAGGGAAGACAAATCGTCTTTTTAACTTTTAAACGCAGATAATTCTGGACACACATGGATTTGAAGGAAAATTTTGACGGTGAGCTGTGAACACTGTAATTGATTGGCTTAGCTAAAAACTTCCTGTTTCTGAGACCAAGGTATGATTGGTCAAAAAAATGGCCTAACTGTCCCTTAAAATCAGATAAAAATTGAAGTCTATATTGTGCTCAGAAGAAATGTTGACGGAATGACAGGGGAGACGCCACTATTCGCCCACATGGAAATAACAAAAAATAAAAACATAAATTCCTAATATGTTGAGGCAAAATAAATGAGTACGATGTAATGGCAGAATCATCAACTAAATTCAACATCAATATCGAAAGATAGCTTTCCAGGCAAGGTAATATACGCCCACTGGCACTTTTGAGTAAAAATATTTGGCAGTACAGTAACAATCACCAGTATGAAATATTCAACCTTAAGTCCCTATAGAATGTTTACGAACTAAAAATTGAACAAATTTTCAAGAACAAGGGCAATAACTCCTACTTGAATATTTTCAATTTTTCTGATTTTCAAGGTTCATCCTTGGGTGTTAATTGCATCAAAATCTGTCAAGAGTTGTGCCTTCTAGAGTGTTTACGAGATAAAAATTGAACACATTCTCAAGAACGGGGGCAATAACTTATACTAATTATTTTTCTGATTTTCAATGGGGTTTATCCAAGTTTCATCAAAATCCATCAAGAATTGTCCCTTCTAAAGTGTTTACAGGCTAAAAATTGGATATAAACTGTAGCCTCTATGATGTTTACAAGCAAATTTTCGAATTCACCACCATCTTATCAATCCCAATGCTCACACCAAGTATCATCAAAATCCATTGAAAATTGTAGCTTCTATTGTGCCCACAACAATATTTAGACTCGACTTTACTTAGTCAAGGGCAATAACTCAAAAACCATTCATTGAAAAATTGTCAAATTCAAACTTGACTGCCATCTTATGAATCAATTTTTAAGTTGGATAATCAATAAAAAAAAATACTGGCATGAAATCTATCACTGGCTTTTCTAATAGATCGTCTGCTAGGACAGTCCAGGTGCTTGGTTTACCACACTCCGACGTCTCTACAGTAGGTAAAAAACATCCCGGGGAAGCTATATATAGTGCGGAGTGTCACTTTCGGAAGCTCCATCGTGACATACTATAGTTAAGTCAAGTTTGGTTGTGATTTATTGAAGTCTGAATAATATATTTTGTCGCCATCTTGTTGACTATCAATGTAAAAATATAAAAATCCGGTTTAGATTTACCGGTTATATAAATCATTTTAGTTTTCTAGTTTTTATTTCATTTCAGATATAAAATTTATTTTAGTACATAATTAGTAGCATGTGAAACGTTGAGTTCATAAATACAGAAATAGTATATCCCTATATCTTGTGGTTCTTTACCTATTTCTATATGTCTCATAAACAGTACATAATATATTATTTATAAATCTCAACCAAATGATCGGGCGTAGTCTTGTTTATCTTAGGCATAAAAGAGCGTACGAGTGTATGTTTTGTTGTGTAGCACAATCTCGTGAACTGATTATTGAACAAAATAAGTAATCTTAGAAATAGACAGTTTGTATTCAATTGACTCACACATTTGTGCAAATTATAAGATGTTTTGGCAGTCAGTGTTGTAATATAACGTAGATCTTTTCAAATATTGAAAAAAAAAACACTGTATATAGAAATTTCATCACATTATCATGTCAAGTTTCATCGAAGTCATTGGATCAATGGGATCAATGGGATAATTGGAAACTTCCAACAATGGTACAGCCAGGGAGGGGAGGCCTGGAGAATCATGATATTTCATCAAAAAATGTTCTCAGATTGCCGGAAATGGCCTTTACACTCAGCTTCTCATTCTTAAAGATGGCTTGAAATATCATATACAACAACTACTCTACTATTTTGGTATTCATTTTTTGTCTACAGCAACAGGAAATATTATTCTTAAACTCTATTTACAGTGGTCTAACACAAAACATTTTAGTTGTGATGAATCGTAATATTTACCTGCAAAATCAATGTTTTTTTTTTAAGAATTAGAAACCTGCAAATGCTGAAATATTTTGAGATGTGGAATCTTAAAAAAACTACGCGGATTTATACAGTGTCCACAGGTTTTTGCTGTTTATACATCGATAAACTGAACAATTCCTTATAATTAAATCAACTCGAATACGTCTTTAAATATTTATCTAAAATAGCAACAAACTAAGGGACAAAATTGGCGCACAAATACCTAAAATTTAAACATAACGTTAATGAACCAGTAATTCAATTACAGCTTAATGTCATTTTTGACGTAAACAAACATGAGTTTATGGAGCATTCTACATAAACATTCATTTCTTTTGATTAGGAATACATGGATAATTTATCATAAACACCAATAATCAAATAGTTTGTTTGATTTTACTCTTAAAAATGCAAGAAGCCATCTTTAATACTTTTGCACCCGATGCAAGAAGAAAAATTAATTTGTTTTATTTTTAGTTGGATTGATTTGCGAGTTTTATTTTGTTGTTGAGCGCTGTGTATGGTAGCTTACTCATTTGTATTGGTGTTATCTCAAAAATCTTATCTTAATAAACTAGATATGATACACCAATGACGTGATACTGACAACAAAAGGTGGCATTGTCTGCTATCTTGGAGAGTTCTAAGTGGGCGTAAACAACAATTGCGTCTAATGGAATGCAGTGTTTCGCTTTTGCCAGTATGATTATAGGAGTGAATTGAGTAAGGTGAATGGAATCTTATTTCATAGGAAAAATTAAGAATTAAAAAGAGCACAAAGTAAGAGCAATAATTGGCTGATCTGGACTTAATGTTGTGGAAATTTTTTCACCTTCTCGACCTTTTCCTCACTTTTTCACCTTCACTTTCTTGGACATTGGTGACAGCAATATACTACACCCCTCCATTTCATGTGGGCGTATATAAATTGCATCAATTGCGGATTTTAACCCCTGTATTAAAATCAAATTGCCAAAATCGGTTTTAAGCTGTAATTATAGAGTGCTTTTTATTGGGGGGCAGATAAGAGTATTTTATCAACTGAAAGCAGTGACACATTTTGAATTCCCTCAAAAAATTTGAATGTGACCACTCATGACGATTTTCTATGCCTGTACGATTCGCCCGTATTTAAAACTAAAAGGAAATAAGCAATTCCATTTGCTGGTTAATTTGCTCATTTGGCTGTGTGAGGCATATCGCGTAATTGATACTTTTCAACCAATTGGATGTGATAATGATATCACATAATGTTTAAATTAGCTACTTTCACCATTTTATAACTTGTACATAGCTTTTAAAAATTTGCCCTTTCTTGATCTGGTGCAAAAATTTGCGGGCAATTTCAATTGATGTGATTGGGCTATTAAAATGTGCTTGTCTGCCCCTAGCATTAATAATGTTTGCCAGTAATCCATCAAAGACCTATAGCAATTTTCTCTTTCATAACCACAGGGGTTCATAGGTCGGAGAAGGGGCAGAGGTGATAAAATTCCAAATTGTCACAACTCTTGATCTTCATATCATGTTTTATTGAAATCAGATGATAAGTAACGATTACTGTGGTTAAAACGGTAACAAAAAACGCAATTGTTGCAACTATAAAAAAAATATAAATATGAACAGACTAACAGGCATGGATGCGGACTCTAAATATATTGATAATATACCGCACACAATATTAAACTTTGTAGGAAAATGTATGTTACTTTTGATTTTAACCCTCAACAATCTTTCAAAATCGATTTACCAGGCAAGGTAATATACGCCCACTGGCAGCTTTGATCTTAAATAAAACTATTAAGCAGTACAGTAACAATTACCAGAATGAAATATTCAACCTTCAGTCTTACACTTCTTTTAAACTTTTTTTACTGTATAATATTACCATGTTTAGTCAAAACCTGTCAAGAATTGGGCCTTCTGGAGTGTCTACAGGCTAAAACTTCTGATAAGTTAACAAAGGGCAATAACTCATACTTATTATCTTTTTATTTTTCTGATTTTCAATACATTAATTACACCAAGTTTCATCTAAATCTGTCACCATTGGTACCTTGTAGAGTGTTTACAAGCTAAAATTGAACGCGTTTTCAAGAACTATGGCAATAACTCATGCTAAATATTTTTCGATTCTTCTTATTTTTGATAGGGATCATCCTTCGGTGATAACAAACATTCACACCAAGTTTCGTCCAAATCCGTCAAGAATTGCGCCTTTAGAGTGTTAACGGGCGTTTCAAGAACAAGGGCAATAACTCATACCAAATATTTTTCGATTTTTCTGATTTTCAATAGGGTTTATCCTTTATTTATAAACAAACACTCTTGCCAAGTTTCGTCTACATCCGTCAAGAATTGTGCCTTCTGGAATGTTTCCTTAAAGTATATTTTTATGTCTAATTTATTAGTTTGGTCAAAATCTTCACCAAGAAGTTCATACTATTTTTGCTAATACTGACAGTAAATTTGATAGAAGGGTGGTGATTGTTTGGTATTAGGGTGTATTGAGTTAATTATGTGAAAATTAGACTGAAATCTAACTTAGATATAACATGATACATTTATATAAAAAAATATCTTCTTTAAGGATAAGGCGGCATTGTTCATGTCTACAGTGAACAAGGAAATTGCTCAGATCTTGATTTCATTTGTAAGCTAAAATTTATTTTGAAGGCTAGAGTAGTCGAGTTTGACTATGGTAGCTGTAGAATCAAATGTCGTAACAAAGGGGATTATCTGGTTATCGTGTTGAATGTTGAGTCCAATTGGCATTACAATCTGTAGTTGAGCAATACAGTAACTTTCAAGGTGTAATCGTCAAGTGATGCAGAAAGTGTTTTGGCATGATGAAAAGGTCATCAATGGAATAATAGGGAAGGTCGAAGTGATTCGCTATCTGTCTATCTTTGCCATGCACTTTATCATAACTATGGCCATTGAATCACATCAGAGCGTTTTGAGTCTCATCAACATATTTTACATCACATCTTTTACATGAAATTAGGTATATGATATTCTCAGCAAATAATTTTCTTGGTTTTTTTTAGGTCTGTGTGCTAACTTATTTGTTTGTATTTTTGGACATTTTTTTTCACTATCAAAGCAATTTAATAACAAAATATAAATACACTGTATCAATGAAATCACAATCTGAACTCCCTTATTTGGGCTATTATTAAGCTTAATAGACAGTTTTCATACTGTATCCCTTACATAATTCATTAAGAGTAATGGGAATTATGAATAATGGTCAAAAAAATGTTCAAGGTATGAAGTAATATTTTTTGTGGAGATTCATTAGGTAATGCAAAAAAATCAAAATCAAAATCTTTCATTGATATCTTTCTGAATAAATCCATTTTTGTCAAAATATCCGATAATTTCGTCATTATCCATCAACTCTGTGCAATAATCATCAATACACTTTGGAGGTACCTCATATTTAGAAAGATAAAGTTGGTAACATGGCTAACTCAAGCGTTCTTAATCCAGCCAGGTACAGGAAATGGAGAATAATCGCCCAATTCCCCAGAAGTGGAAGCTAGGTGACCATCAGTGAGGATCGAGCGAGTGGTTGCTTGATTGCAGCTTGGTGCCACTGCTCACCACCTATGTGAGCCCAAGACTTGACATATAAGGTTGAGGGAGATAATGATGCTAAAGCTAACCTGCACCTGTAATTTTTCTGAATACATCTGGGTTTTGAGGATCTGCTTTTTATAGATAGGTTTAAAACCCTTGCACCTTAGAGGTGTGGAAAATGCCCACATAACAGGGGTTAGCTATTCTGTCTCTACACCAGCTAGCAACTGTCCAAATAGCTATCAAAGACTGGAGTAGTAAATATCAATCAATGAAAAAGTTTCTAATTTTAACATATTATCTTATCATTTGGGGTTTGATTGTTAAAAATAGAAACTGTTTCCATTCTAAGACATATTGATGCATGAAGGGTATGAAGGAAGCAAACAAATTTATTACACAATGCATAATATTAGAATTGTAAGACTTACTTGGCCCACTTTTCAGGTGTATTAATTTGCTGTTGGGCATGCTGAAATAAAGAAAATTATATATTCATGAGGACTACAATCAAACATTCCTTGAAGATTAATGAGTGTTCGCAGCAAAAATTTAGTTACATTTTCAAGTGCACGTTAACTCAAAATTACATTGTCTCACATTTCAACTCAAAGACAGCTTGCCAGGCAAGGTAACATGTGCCCACTACCAGCTGTCAAACAATGACAATAATAAAGTCTTTAGTCATCAAATTATCATCAAATTCAAACATATTGTGGATGTTTTATTTATCGATTTTTCGAGCAAAGAAATTGTCGTAATAACTGGATTCAATGTTTCAAATCACCACAGCAGATTAGGATTCACAACCAATAAGATTCAATAGACTTGAGGCTCGGATCAATTACAAAGATATGTAGCCAATTGTTACCAATTTCGAATTTGACGATATATATATCAATATATACATGCATACGCATTTTTAATAAGTCAGGGCTCATAACTTCGAAACTGTTCCCATTTATTTCTCGGAAACGACAACTGGTACAACACAACGGATTTCATCATGTTCCATGTTTCGTGGCTATCTACGTACTACATTTAACGAAAATTTTCTGAGCAACATGAAGTGACGTTGGCAGAAAACAAGATATGCACTGAGGGCATATTTATCAACAGGTTTTTCTTCATTGTACTTCTTGAAACAAAGGGCTAATGATAGCAGTTGAAAAAATTCAATTTTCCCACATTCATTCCATACTGTTTATGGTGTAGACCGCCAGCATGGTGGAAGAAAAGTACACATTCAAAAGTAAATACTTCCAGTGGCATCACTTCCAGCGGAATAGAGTTATGTCAAAAATAACATATGCATAATATTCAAACTAAAAGATAGCTTGCCAGGCAAGGGAATATACACCCACTGGCAGCTTTGATTTTGAATAAAAATATTTTTTAGCAGTACAGTAACAATCACCAGTAGCTCTTGAAAATTCTAGAAGACAAATATACAATCATCAGCGCTGTACTGAATAATAAAACCAAGTTTTGTCAAAATTTGCTAAGAATCATGCCTTCTAGAGTTTTTACGAACTAAAAATTGAACGAGTTTCCAAGAACAAGGGCAATAACTCATACTAAATATTTTTTGATTTTTCTGATTTTCAATAGGCTTTATCCTTGGGTGATAACAAACACTCAAGCCAAGTTTCATTAAAATCTGTCAAGAATTATGCCTTCTAGAGTGTTTACGAACTATAAATTGAACGCATTTTCAAGAACAAGGGCAATAACTCATACTAAATATTTTTCAATTTTTCTGATTTTCGATAGGGTTTATCCTTGGGTGATCACAAACACTCACACCAAGTTTTGTCAAAATCCATCAAGAATTGTGCCCTCTAGAGTGTTTACAAGCTAAAATTGAACGCGTTTTTAAGAACAAATGCAATAACTCATGCTTATTATTTTTTGATCTTCTGATTTTAAATAGAGTTCGTCCTTGGGTGATAACAAACACTCGCACCAAGTTTCATCAAAATCCGTCATGAATTGCACCTTCTAGTGTTTGCATGAGCGTTTCAAGAACAAGGGCAATAACTCATATTAAATATTTTTTCGGTTTTATCGATTTTCAATAGGGTTCATCATTGGGTGATAATAAACGATTTTAACAAGTTTCCGTAAAGAATTGTGACTTGTAGAGTGTTTCAAGCAATTGTGGACGCACGGAAGGACCGACAGAAAGAGGTGAAGGCAATATACGCCCCCCCATTTCATGTGGGCATATAAAAAGCAAAAACGAAATTCTGTTATGTTGACTTTAGTGATCTTTCTTTGCACCCAAAATTTCACCTACATCTAAGGTTCGTGAATGTTGAATGGTTGCTTCAACTGTTGTACTTTAAGCTAAGGAAGGTGTGTAAAAATCGAAAAAAAAAATAAATAAATAAATTTACATTTCGATAAACAACTGGGACTTTGTGAAAGTTTTAAATTCATGAATTTACGCGCTTTGGAAAAATCATCCGACTTTTCACCCAATCTACAGATTTTTCAAAGATTTGTCAAGAATTCTTTTTCTAACCGGTACACATGTATGGCGTGTTTATGAGCAATTGTGGACAAAATAATTTCATAGGAATAAATGTTGACAGAAGTTTTATTATTTATAGCCCCATTTCATGTGGGCATATAAAAACTACACAAAAAATTTACGTCAACAATAACTGTTTCATTTAAATCCAATAAAGGTGCCTTATACAATGTTTACTACTTTAAACTTGAACTTGTTTCTAAGAACAATAATCATATCAAATATTTAATGATTTTATTGATATCGATAGGGTTTATACATGAATGATAATTAACAATTTCATCAAGATTTGTCAAAATTGTAAAAAGATTTGTAAAATGAGTTTTTACAAGCTAAAAATTTAATGGTTTCCAAGAACAAGAGCAATAAATCTATTAAATATTTCACTATTTTAATGACATGGTTGATTCTTGGATGATAATTTACACTTACACCAAGTTTGTCAAACCAAGTCAAGGGTGATGTTAGTTTCATATGAGCATATACAAAACTGAGGGATCTACAGCTTAAGTATATGTAGTGATTGTTTTAATGTGAAAGGTGCTTGAAGTCTCTTAACTTTTGAATATACATGAGCATCTTACCTTTTGAGCAGATCTTATCTCTTGTTTTGTACGTCGAGCAAATGGACTGTTAGGGCAAACAGATTTAGTTGGTAATGATAAGTTAGATGATGTTTTTACTAGGAATAGTTCACTTTTTAACTGAGGAAACCCATTATAACTGTAGTTTTCACCAGCAGGTAAACCAACTGGTTCTGGTGGCATTATAAACACTGTACGATCACTGAAATTCCACAATACATATTTTAAATTCCAATGACTGTTGCATACAAAATAGACGACAACATACAAATAGCAGCTTTCATCATATCAAAATATCAAAATATTCTAAAAGCTTGATCAATAAAAATTAAAATGTTTGATATGTTTGTGTCATATTTCTAGAGTCAATGAAGACCAGTCATGATCTTATCAATTCCAATGATCACACCAAGTTTCAAATCAAATGAAATTTGCAGTTTCTATTAAGCTCATGAATAAATTTTGACACTTTAAAGTCAAGGGCAATAACTTAAAAAATCAACAAATTCAAACATTTCCAAGATTATATAAATACCTAAGGGTCAAATAAAAAAATAGGCCTACCAGTTTTGTCAATAGCATGCATCTAACCAAAGAATGTCTAATTTACAAAATTTGTAACTAAGTTACAATATTTCAAAAGCAATTGTTACAGACAGGATGGTTGCCTTACTAAACAGAATATGGGAAATATTTCCCAAAAAACACCCAATTTTGGATTTTAATTCATTCAGAGTGAATTGCACAATATGACAAGCTTTAGCTTATAATTTATAATGTAATTATATGCTTGACTGTAGTATGAAAATGTAATAATGTCTTTTGCATTCTTTTATCTGTCTTTCTTAATCTGTAACTGCATCTCTTCCTGAAACAAGATGATTTTTCAGAATATTTTTCCCCCGGACACCATTTCAAAAACTGGATTCATGGAACAGGAACAACTTCTATGAAAGTCCTACTATAAAGTCTGTCTGTAGCTTCATCTCCAGGACAGCAAATACATTCAATCAATGCACTTGAGTGATTTCAGAAGATTTATTGGTCCATCTATTTGCTAGACAAATGTCATTGAGCAGCAAGGTTAGGTTTTCATAGAAAACACAAGCACATGCTTCTTTCAGAAATTCCTTCACATACTTGGTATGTTTGTAGCCATGAATCACCTTCCATAACTTTCCAAATGATGTTATTGAATGATTAGTTTCATTATCGACAGAACATACCAATCATTCATCAAAGGAAAGAGATTTTTGATTGTACAAAGTCAATACTTTATTACCATCTAAATCTTTACCACAACATAATTGGACTTTCCTTCTTGGACATGTGTAGGATATATCCCGTCTCTCAAGGTGCACTAACAGGCTGTTTAAATACGGATACCCTACTGCAAGGACTTAAACGTACAAAGGCATGTGTGGTGAAAAAAGGAAAATAACATTTTTCCAGCTGAAGATTAACCATGTTCTTTAAAGAAGAGTTATTCCCCTTTGCAAAACAACCTAAATGGCCATATTAGGCCCGAAGTTGTCATAATAAGTCGAAATAGTCAATCGTATTTTGTCATATGGCAGTTGAAAAATTCAGTCACATTTTTTTTCAACTAGTCGAAATTGCTAGTTTTTAACTAAACTAGTGTCCAAAAGAAATGAAACCAACTTATTTTCAAAATTGTTTTTTACTAAGTGAATTGTCTAGTATGAATACATGCCAATTCGTATTGCACATCCCAAACACAGCATAGTCGATAAAAAATACCGGGAACACATATCACTTTCGGGAAAAAACGTAAATTTCGTGAAAGTGACATCCCTCTCTAGCATGTTCTGTACATGCATAAAACTGTATAAAACGGCTGATCAGACAGGTTGATTTCACAGCAACAAAAAAAAACACAAGATATGCCACGTTTGACAGCCATCGAGAGCCGTTAGAATGGTCCAACAAGGAGCTACACACATCAACGTCGCCAGAAGGTTGGGCTGCGCAAGCATCACTATCACCAAGTTGATGCAGCGGTTACGTCAAACAGGTCAGACTTCAGACAGGCCTAGGAGTGGAGGACCACGAGTAACCACGCCCAATGAAGATCGTTACACCTGAAGAACCGCACCGTAACAGCGACGTCCACGGCGGCTACATCACTGGGCCACAGGATAAGTCGACAGCCCGTCTACAGGAGACTACGGCAGTATGGTATCCGGCCACGTCATCCCTACCACGGATCACTCCTGACACCGGAACAACAGACATAGCGTTATATTGATGACATCTTACGGCCTGTTGTGGTGCCCTTTATTCAGCAACAGCCTCGTGTCCTCCTTTTCCAACATGACAATGCAAGGCCACACACAGTTAAGATTGACACAGAACTCCCTTTCAGGTTTTGACATGGCCCGCATGTTCACCGGACATGAATCCCATCAAACACTTATGGGATCACCTCGATCGGCAAACCCGACGTGGCCATGTCCTTCAAGTCAACATCCAGGACTTAGAACGATGTCTCCTCGAGGAATGGCAACGCATCACTCCCAACGTCATCAGACATTTGACATCATCAGGCCGTAGGCGTGTTCTAGCTTGTATTGATGCTCACGGTGGACAAATCGCAACTGACTTGACTTTGTGAGGTGTGGTGTGACATTTCTCTTTGTTTCTGTGATCAGTGCTCTAACGAAATGTTCATTTTTCGACCCCACCAATCTTTAAAGGCTTGTCATATTGGTTGTACAGATTTTATTGAAATGAAATTTTTGTACAGATGTGAAAGGATTTCTTAAAAGCATAACACCAATCCTTAAATTTCTGCATTGTTAAGTTTTTCTTTTATGTCGTTGCAAACAGGTGGTATCGTTTCTTTTGGACACTAGTTTAGTTGCAAAAGTCAGTCACAATCTACAGGAGTCAGTCACGATTTTATTTGTGACTTTGGGGGTCTAGGCCGTCTTCTGTCAATTCTTTAGATTAGAATGGTCGTAGCTTTTGATGATGGACTAGATATTATGGATTTGATTTCAGTTGAAAAGGAAAGGGAAAAGAGTAACAGGGGCGCCCGCTAGACTTGGACTGGGCAAACTACGGGTTTGTCTCAGGGTCTGTTTATACAGGGTGCTGCCTCTTCTTGGTGCTGACGTCTGTTGATCTACATCCATATCTGATATGGTAACTCAAGTCTTGGTTTCGTTGATAGCCTTGTAGAATATGGTAACAACAGACCAAGTTAAGCATTTCCCATAGGAGTGACAGGCCCAAGATAGGGCATGGGAAATGATGCGGTCAAATGCAGGTGCCGATAATTATTTGACACGGATCGTGGTCAGCTTCTCTTGATGGGTGGTTAGGTCTTGGTCGTGGTCGATCAGAACCTGCGTAACCATAGAGAGCAATGTCTGGTTGAGGGTTCTAATATTCTCGTCCACAGCTGAGGTTTTGATTGCTGGACGGATAAAACTATCCAACTCGCAGACTTTGCATTTGAAGGTGAATACAAGTTGACCTTCATTTTGGAGGGTAGGATTGCTAAGTGATGGAAAAAAGGTTTATACTGAGTATGAGTTATTGCCCTTGTTCTTGAAAACGTGTTCAATTTTTAGCTCGTGAAAACTCTACAAAGCAAATATTCAATCGTCAGCGCGGGACTGAATAATAAAACCAAGATTTGTCAAAATTCAGCAAGAATCATGCCTTTTAGTGTTTAAGCTAACTTTGAACGTGTTTTCAAGAACAAGGGCAATAATTCATATTAAATATTTTTCAATTCTTCTGATTTTCAATAGGGTTCATAATTGGGCGATTACGAACATTCACACCAAGTTTTGTCAAAATCCGTCAAGAATTGTGCCTTCTAGAGTGTATACAAGCTAAAAATTGAACACGTTTTCAAGAACAAGGGCAATAACTCATACTAAATATTTTTCGGTTCTTCTGATTATCAATAGGGTTCATCCTTGGGTGATTACGAACACTCATACCAAGTTATGTCAAAATCCGAATTGTGTCTTGTAGAGTGTTTACGAGCAATTGTGGACGGACAGACATGGGTGATGCCCCCCCCCATTTCATGTGGGCATTTAAAAAGGGTAGGCTTATTTGGGTCTCCTGGCACATCAACATTGAAAGCAGATTCTACAAACGTGGATGTATGTATATTTTTAGCAAGCCAAGGTATTCCAATAGAATCGGTAAGCTTACATCATTGATTTTCCGTCTATGAAGCATTTAATTCAAAAATTTCAAAAAACTTTTTACTTTGTTTATACAATAGTAGATTTATATAAAAGAAACTTAAGCTAAGAGTTGACCCTGTAAAAGGTCGCAGGATTGCCTTCTCTTCTGATCACTTGGTGCCACTTTTCATCATAAAATAGATGCGAATGTTTCAACATTTCTTGTCATCTTGATATATGTCAGTAAGTTATATTTGTATCACATGATAGCTTTGTTTTGTCAACTTCCGCCCAAGTAAATGGCATTCTGATTTTGCTTTTATTATTATTTCATTAAATCTGTCAAACTTTAACAATTTTTTGATCATTTGTGAACAGTTCCAAAACTATTGAAATTGAATAAAGATATTTTTATCAGTTACATCTCTTGAACTTATCAGACAAGGTATGCTTACTCTTCTAGACACCTGATACCACTTTTCATTATAAAATACTTACTCACTTATGATTGATATACTTCCTAATGTGAAGAGTTCATTTGCTGCTACCAATGTTTTGCAAAAATGTTTTTGGATTTTGGGTTTCGTTTTTGGTTTGATAGTTAGTACTTGGTTTATTTATTTTACATACCTTGTATGTGTGCTGTCCATCTCAATTAACTGTGGTTCATCTTTAAGATCATCAACTTTTTCTGCACATTCATCAAAGAAAGCTAGACTAGCATCATTTTCAGATACAAATGATCTTTCTTCAACGAATCTAATAAACATTTGAGTTTTCAATACTTGGTTGAAGAATTTAGCATAAGCCTTATCTCGACTCTTTACAAACCCTACAAAAAACAACATAGTATGAATTATTTTGTAATAAGTGCCTTAAAATAAGGACGATATTTTTGTGATATTTTTGTGTTCGTGAATAGAATATAGAATTTGTTATTATTTTGTGACATAGAATTATTTTTTAAAAGTGCTTTAGAGTTGATAGCCTACTATGTAAAATAAATGTACTGTGTATTTCAAACACGCCCACTGACAGCTTTGAATTAAAAAAAATATTTGACAGTACAGTAACAATTCCAAGTATGAAATATTCAACCTTCAGACATACACTTTTTTTGAACTTTCGATACTAGATTATAGTACCAAGTTTCATCAAAATCTGTCTAGAATTGGGCCTTCTAAAGTGTTTACAGGCTATGACTTTAACGCGTTTTTAAGGGGAATAACTCATAAATATTTTTTCGATTTTTCTGATTTTCAATAGGGTTCATCCTTGGGTGATACTCACACCAAGTTTGGTCAAAATCCATCAAGAATTGTGCCTTCCAGAGTATTAATGTCTAATCAGCCACCGAGCCCCACTAGAAATTTAAACAAAGGACCTGATTCACGTGAACAAAATTTGAGGAATTCCAGAAGCAGACTTACCATTTTTTAGAAATACATGTGCAATCAAGACTCATTTGATCCACTCAAACGCCTTGAACCTTTCAATAAATTTTGTATCTTAAAAGAGTTTGTGTCCAGAAACCCAAGAGACTTTTGAACAAATGCAATTACTGATGCACACGATGCAATTGATCTTGGAGCATATCCAGATTCAAATAAATATGCTAAAAGTTACATATCAGAATTGTTTTAAAAGGAAAAACTGGAGATAAACCTTTCTTAATGCAAAATTGTATAAATTTAACCCAGTGACAATTCACAAGAAGAAGGAGCCAATACATTTCTTATAAGCAGGGAAGCCGAAGTATTCAAAATCGAAGCAAGTTCTGATAGATCGACTGTAGGTGTGCATCAAGCCATGGCTCAGATTTGGATTCCATTATCCAATGAATGGCCGTGCTGAAACGTTCAAATGCATGACAGCTTATCTTTAGACCCATAGGCAAGAACATATCGGCAAAGAAGTAAGTTTTTCCATGCAATGGAATTGTTCAACCTTATAAATTATAGTCATTAGGGCAAATTGTTAGGAGACGATAAGCATTTTAAATATCTGTCTTTGCCATGAGTGAACCCCTACATTCTGTTTCACTAACTGGACCACCCTATCAATTGAATCACAAGATACCTCTGTGAAACTAGGATCAATAAATGAATTCACAGAATTTCCTGCTGACGTACAAGTGCAAATTGTGTATCGTAAAAGTTGAAAGCCTTCAAACCATACACAGATGCTAACTCAGCTAGTATAAAAACACCAAGACTGGTCAAAAATATTTTCAAAAAAACACCACGCCTGGTATAGAAGGAATACAACACCAAGCCTGGTGGTACTAAAGTCATAAAGATCAAAGATCAAATATTAAAGATAAAAATATTTTAGGAAAACAAAGCACACCAAGCCTGGTAAAATCTTTACTTGTCACACCAAGCCTGGTAAATACTCTTTTCTGGCCATAGTCCTCTCCCTAACCTAATAATTCTCTTACCAAAGAATGCTGTAGATCTCATCATGATATTTAATTGCCTATCCTATAATCTCTAAAATCGTTTAACAAGATCTAACAAGATTCAATGGAGCTATTTCATAAAGAGTTATCTTCCCTTGGCAACAGATGTCGTGGCTGTACTAGTAGTAGTACTTGCCCCGTGATTAGACAGATTCAGTGATGTCGTCGTCTTCTGCTAGCTTGACAGAGTTACGAAAACGAAACCACTGGAAGAAAAGGTACACTGATAGAAAGGTGAGTGAATATTACTATATTACGGGAAGTCTGATCCTTGTTTAGCCCAATGAATATAGATCTAGCCCCATACTACTCTAACTCACTGCCAGTCACCACAGAGAGACAGTGTACCTCAGTACAACAATAAGCCAATATCTAGAATATAAAAAATTAAACTGTATAATAATAATTTATATGATGAATTATATGCCACAGTATTTTGACAAAAGCCTTTTGTCTCGAACCTGTAGGCCTATAATGTCATAGATTTAATTAATACTTTTGCTTTCTTTTCTTGGACTTAAATCCTATGACAGAAATGCCATCCCATTTGGTCAGAAAGTGGATTCCAGCAATTACAGCTTCACCACCAGAAATCTTTGCCAAACCTGAACAGATCTGTCATTAATGGCTATTTCCAGTATCGTCTTGCCACAGATAAGCAAGCGAGTTGTCATATGAAGGCTCTAGAAAGGGGGAGTGGCTTTTGGAATGTTAAATGTTAAAAGTTAAAATGTCAATGTTTCCACTTATGCTTAGAATATTAAGTTCACAGTTGAGTACTTGAGCAATGTTGACACATAGCTGTAATGATCAGCCAGTAGGCTGAGGAACATTGATCAGACATTCGATGCTTATAAATTTATGTTTAAATTCAAGTTGAGATCTAGTCACAAACGGGGGAAATACTCAACACTCATTGTGATTGTCTGGCGGGTTAAAGACCTCACGGAACCTGTAAACATGTGGCTTCAGTGTTGTTAATGTTGAGTCATTTCATTAAAACTAATGAGAATTATGTTGATGAATGATCCATGACCAGCAAAGTATCGCAATCTGCCTGGATATCAAGATCATATTCAGAGTGCTTTTATCAACTATTGCTCCAATACATCGAAAGATATAACAATGAGGTTTTTGTATCCGAAGGCAGCAGTCATGGATCATGATTACTTAGCTATTAGATTGGACGCACTTTCCCCCATTCCATTTCATTCCATGGGGAAAATTGCATCCAATCTATGAGCTCCCAAAAAAAGACCTATACACTCTACATTCCATCAATTCACACCCAAAAAAGACCTATTCACCCTACATTTCATGTTTCTTGTTTTGAAAAACAGACCACAATTTCTACTCGAATTTTAAACCTTAAAAATGGCTAATAAAAATTACATAGTAGATCCTATCTTTAGATTATAAGATCCAATTCGTTATTCATTTAACAAGAAAAAAGAGGATTATATTATCATCTCCGAGTTGAATGATGGTGGTAGAATTACCTTTGTAATAAATTCATTATCAAATTGGTTGCTTCTTACCAATGCTTATTTCAGATGTGATTTCAAAATTAAAGATGGAACTCCCAATGAAAATCGGGTTCCACAAACTAATACAACGTTAGAAAACAATTTCTTTCCATCTTTATTTAGCGACATGGTTTTGGAAGCTGGTTCAAATCCTATAGAAACCATTAACCACTTGGGAGCGGGATTACCATAATAAATTTTGCTCAAAAACGGGATTAATTTTGAAAATTTTTTTTTTTTTTTTTTTATGCAAAATATAAAATATAATTATATTTTCAAAAAATGGTGATATAAAGTTAGTATTATGGATAAGAATTCCTGTAATTTCAGTTTTTCTCTAATACGGAATAATTTGAAAAAAAAAAAACAATTTTTTTATTTTGGAAAAAATCTTAAGTCAGCTTATATTTTCCAAAAAATAATCAAATATGTATTATTTGAGTATTATGGATAAGAATAATTTTAGTTTTTGATCATTGTAACAGTTGAGAAAAAGAATATATTTATCTATATAATACAAGAGTTTATTCCATGTAAATATTTAGCGCAAATATTTCAAGTTATCACATTTCAAATAAATATTATATCTCAATAATTTAATGCAAATAATATACAACAATTGACTAGTTCATGCAATGGCACAAAATCTAATCAATAACAACTACAAACAATTAAGTGTTCATTTTGAATATAATAACTGCAGCTAATTAACTATTCATTTTAAATATAACATTTTTAATATAACAACGACGCGTACAGCTAAATTTACTCTTCATTTTGGACCAAAAATCTATAACAACTAACAACTTGAATAAAGCATTTTGAATATAACAACTACAGCTATGTTCATTTCGAATAAAACATGTTGGACATAACAACTACAGCTAATTCACTGTTCATTTTGAATGCGATAATTTACTTTAGTGTGAAAACTTTTGAAACATGGCACAACACAAAGAGGAACTTCACACCGTTCACACATATAAAGCGACTCAGTTCTTAGTCCACTTTTAGCACAGACTTCACATCTTTTTGTAGGGTACTTTTTTAGGAAATGTCTTCCCTGTAGGCATGGACTTGGTAAGGAGTGAGGCCTACCATTTGAACAATAAGTTGGTATACGGCAGCTTTCAATTAGTTGAGATACAAGGGATAGCTTGAAATCTAGAAGTGATGATTTCCCACCCAAAGCTTTGTGCAGCAAAAATGAGTGTATGATTGTCAAATCCAGCAAGTAATAAAACAATTTCTTATACCATTTCACGTGTTTACGCACAGATTTACAAGTAGCAGCTAACTGGTCAGACCTGTCTGTTCCACCCATACCATTGTTGTAAGACAAAACACAGGCTGGTTTCAAAATGGGTAAATTGGTTCTGCGATCTGTTTTTCCAGTATCCACCATCTTTGCATCATGCATAGTTGTCAGCATTTTAACATCTTTTTTGTCCTTCCAAACAAGCAAAAGTGTGTTATTTGATGTTTGAAATGTTATTTCACCCCTTTTGAGTTTCTCATTTGATATGTCTCTTGGAATATTCTTACGATTTAAACGAACAGTTCAACATGCATTTGTTTTCTGGGTATTCAGCTGAGCAATGAGATCGGGGCTTGTATACCAGTTGTCAACATAGATGTTGTATCCAAATCCAAGTAGATCTTTACTGACATCCATAACAACCTTTGTACTAGCTGGCAATTCACTTGCATCTGTGTCCTGTCCAGTGTATATCTTGAAATTCCATGTGTATCCAGATGCAGGACCATTTGATTGGTTTAATTTGTATAGATTTATTCCAAATCTGGCACGCTTAGATGGGTTGTATTGCTTGAATCCAAGTCTACCATGAAACTTCATAAGTGATTCATCAATGGAAATATCCTGTG